GGAACCGTCCTTATCAACAAGACGCTATGACAGTCCCCTGGGCTCTGGTTCTCTTGGCTGCCCACAGGTCCAACTCACTCAAGGAACATGGAAGATTTCCTCACTCACTCCTCCGCGCCTTTTTTTTCTTATATTTATTTATTTTCTGTTCTTTTTTTTGTTTTTTGAGACGGGGTCCGCTCTGCCGCCCGTGGCTGGAGTGGCAGTGGGTGCGATTCAGCTCAGCTGCAAGCTCCGCCTGCCAGTGTTTTCGAGCATTCTCCTGCCTCAGCTCCCGAGTAGTCTAGGACTACACGGGGCGCCACGCCACCATCGCCCGGCCTATTTTTTTGATACGTTTTCTGTAGTAGAGCACGGGGTTTCCACTGTGTCGCTGAGCGGTACCAGGAATGGTCTCGGATCTTACTAGACCTCGTATCCCTCCGTCGCTCGGCCTACCAAAGTGCTGGGCATTGGACAGGCGCTTGAAGCAGCCGGCGCCTGGCGCTAGTTTTTTTTTTTTTTTTGTGAGGATCAGAGTCTCCTGTCGCCAGGCTGCTACAGAGTGGTATGGATCTCAGGCTCATGGCAAACCTCCCGCCTCCCGGGTTCAAGCAGATTCTCCTGCCTCAGGCCTCCTTGAGTAAGCTGGGATTAGCGAGGCGCGGTGGCACCAGCGCTTCGGCCTGCGATTTTTTTGATTTTAATAGAGACGGGGTTTCACCATCGTTGGCCAGGGCTGTTCCTATCTCCTAGGACCTCGTGTACGCCCGCCTAGCTCCAAGAGTGCTGGGCATTACAGGGTGACGCCACTGCCACCTGACCCCATTTTATTTTTCTGCAAGAATAGAGGTCTACGTCATCACCCAGGCTGGATCCCTGCATGATCGACGGGTTCACTGCACCCTCAACGCTGCTGGGGCTCCGAGTGAGTCGTGATCCTCCGTACCGTGCGGGCCTCCCAGTGGCTGGGACAGCAGAACAAGACACCACCACACCCAGCTGTTTTCCTTAAATTTTTTGTGTAGAAATGGGTTCCAGGCTGGGCATGGTGGTCCACCTGTAATCCAGCATTTGGCGGCTCTGAGCCAGAGGCAGTCGTTGGTTGAAGGAAGATTTGGGACCAGCTGGAGAGAGATGGTGAGAACTCGCGGTCTTACTAAAGACTCAAAATTAGCCGGGGTGTGGTGGCACGCACCGTATCCCAGCCTACTCGGACGCCGAGGCCACGAGAAATGCTTGAACCTGGGAGGCAGAGGTTGCCGTGAGCTTAGATGACTGCCATTATACGTCCAGTCTGTGACGAAGCAGAGCTCGTCTCAAGGGGCTGGGCGCAGGTGGCTCATGTCTGTAGATCCCCGATGCGTGACTTTTGGGAGGACCGAGGGATAGGAGATCAGCGGAGGTCACGAGATCGAAACCATTCCTGGCGTAAACACGGTGAAACCTCGCCGTCTACTAAAACAAAAATCAATACAAAAAATTAGACCCGAGCATGTTGGCGGTGTTTCCCAAGGCTTACTGGGGGGCTGAAGAGAGGAAGAATGGCCATAAATACCGCGGGCAGGCGAGAGTTGTGCAGTGAGCCGGGATCGCCGCCATTGAAAAAAAAAAAAAAGAAAATAAATAAATAAATAAAAAAAAGGCGGGAGGAGTGGTGAGGAAATCTTCCCATGTTCCTTGAGTGAGTGAGACCTGTGGCAGCCAGAGAACAGAGCCCAGGGGACTTCATAGCTTCTGTGATAGGAGGTTTCATAGTCACTGTGTTCCTGGTGCACATGATGACAACTGTGGATGTGGATGGGGAGGTTGTGACACGCTGGGCTCGGGTCTGAGGACCTGCGTGTGTTTGTGGTCACTCCTCCAGTGCAGAAGTGGGTGCTGTTGTTGCCCTGCCCCCCATCGTGGTGATCTGCCTGGCTCAGCCTCCCAAAGTGCTGGGATTACAGGTGTGAGCCACCATGCCCAGCCTGGAGACCCCATTTCTACAAAAAATTTAAGAAAACTAGCTGGGTGTGGTGGTGCTTGTCTGTGGTCCCAGCCACTTGGGAGGCCGAGGTAGGAGGATCAGATCACTGGAGCCCAGCAGGTTGAGGGTGCAGTGAACTGTGATCATGCCACTGTACTCCAGCCTGGGTGATGGGAGTAGGACCCTATTTCTTTAGAAAAATAAAAATGGGGTCAGGTGCAGTGGCTCACGCCTGTAATCCCAGCACTTTGGGAGGCTAGGGCGGGCGGATCACGAGGTCAGGAGATTGAGACCAGCCTGGCCAAGATGGTGAAACCCCGTCTCTATTAAAATACAAAAAAATGAGCCAAGCGTGGTGCCACGCGCCTGTAATCCCAGCTACTCAGGAGGCTGAGGCAGGAGAATTGTCTTCTGAACCCGGGGAGGCCGGAGTGCCATGAGCGTGACGACTCATACCACTGTAGTCCCAATGCCTGGGCGCACAGAGACTCTGTCTCCAAAAAAAAAAATCGAGCTGTTCAACAAAAAAAAATACCAAAAAATACGGCCAGGCGCGAGTGGCTCAAGCCTGTAATCCCAGCAGACGGTAGTTTGGAGCCGAGACGGGCGGATCACCGAGGATCAGTAGATCGAGACCCATCCTGGCTAACACCAGTGAAATCCCCGTCTCTACTAAAAAAAAAAGAAATCATAGCCGGGGCGAGGTGGGCGGGCGCCTGTACGTCCTAGCTACGAAGTCGGGAGGCCTGAGGACAGGAGAATGGCGAAAACTCTGGGCAGGCCGGAGCTTGCAGTGAGCTGAGATCCAGCCACCTGCATGCTACCAGCCGGGCGGCAGAGCGATTTTGAGCGGCCGCCTCAAAAAACAACAAAAAAAAAAAATAAACTAAATAAATAAAAAAAGGCGGGCGGAGTGTGGAGGACATCTTGCCCATGTTCCCTGGAGTGAGTGCGAGACACTGTGTCAGCCACGCCGAACAGAGCCCAGGGACTTCATAGCTTCATGTGATAGCGTTTTCATAGTCACGTGGACTCCCTGTGCTCCTGCGGTGCACATGATGACAACTGTGGCAGTGTGGATTGGGGAGGTTGTGACACGCTGTGCGTCCGGTCCTGAGGACTCTGGTGGTGGTTTGCTGGTCACTCCTCCAGTGCAGAAGGTGGCGCTGCTGTTGTTGCCCCTCGCCCCGCATCCGCTGGAGATGGGAAGCTGAGTCCACGCACGGTAGAAAGCACCCATGGAATCTGCCCGTGTATTTCCCCATCCCACATTGCGTTGCCACTCTCACCTCGCTTGAAGATCCGTAGGACTTCCACCTGGTAAGGCACAAACAGCAAGAACCGATCTTTCTTCCTTCCCTTCCTTCCTTCCTTCCTTCGTCCCTTCTCCTCCCTTCTTTCTCCTCCCTTCCTCCCTTCTCTCCTTCCCTCGCTCTCTCTCACCTCACCTTCCCTCCCTTCCTCTCCCTTCTCTCCTTCTCTCCTTGCCCTCCCCATTCCTCCCCTTTCTGCCCTTCTTCA